ATCAAAATTTATTAAAAAATAAAAAAAATTATATAAAATTAATTATAAATATTATAATTAATAAAATTTAATGTGTACAGTTTGGTACAAGGTAGGAAAACCATTAAATAAACATGGGACACATTGTATTTTTTACTCCTATAATCTACAAATTACTTATTATAAGTATCATAATTAATAAAATTTAATTTGTACAGTTAGATACAAGGTAGATAAAAGATAAAACTCTTAAATAAATACGGGACCAATTGTATTTTTTACTCCTACAGTTTACAAATTGCTTATTATAAATATTATAATTAATAAAATTTAATTTGTACAGTTACATATAAGGTCGATAAACCTTTTAAATAAACAGGGGACCAATTGCATTTTTTGCTCCTACAATCTATAAATTATTTATTATAAAGAAATTAATACGTATTAGTTTTAATTTTTTAAAATAATTAAAATTTCAATCTACATTTATAAATCAAAATTTTATTATATGAAATATTAATATCTTAATTTGTAAATTTATTATATATTTTAATATAATTAAAATTTAAAAATATCAATATTTAATAAAATAATTTTTAAAATTTTTATTTAAATTTTAATAAAATAAAATAATTTAATATTAAAACTCAAATTATTTTTTAAAGTTAAAATTGATATATATTTTTTATATTATAAATAAATTATAATTAAAAATTAAATTTGTTTACTTTATATCTTAAGAACACAAGATAAAAAATAATTATTAATTAATAATTGATTTTTTTAAAGTAAAATTTTAAATTAACAAATAAGTTTTAATTTTAATTGCAAAATAAACTAATAAGAAACTAATACGTGATATTTACAATTAAAAAGAAAAGTTAACTTTATTTTTTGAAGACAAAAAGTAACAATAATTACATAATTATTATTTTTTATCTTATATTTTAAGAGTACAAAATAGATAAACTCCTAAAATTTTTTTAATTTAAATGAAAAGATTCAAAAAAAAAAAACTATATGTATATAAAATGAAAAAGATTTTCAATTGTCATCCATCTACTTCATCTGTCTCAACTCAAAATAATTGTTATTTTTTACTTTTGAATTTGTATTAAATTAATTTTTATTTTTTAAGGTAAATAATTTTCTTACTACTTTAATCATATCACTGTTTATTCACTTTAATTAATCTTTTAATCACAAAAAAAAAATTATTTTAAAAGTATTATAAATAGGGCTACAGAAAATGAGGATGTCCTTACATTCAGGACGTCAATCACAGTAGTTGGTTTTATAGATATTAATCAAGAATCTACTTATAAATAAATATAAATATTATTTTTGAATTTTGAATGTAAATAAAAAATAAAAAATGACAATTATTTTGAGATAAAAAAAAATTATTTTTAGAATTATCTTATCAACTTTATATAAAAATCAAAACTGGAACAAGTAAATTTGACAAAAAAAATATTATACTTCTAATATTTTGAAAATAACATTATTTTAAAATCCATAAATCTAAATAATTTGTAATCTGTAACCATGCGATCCTCAGCTAAACCCAAAATAATATTCCCTATGTTTTAGAGTAATAAATTTTTTTATTTAAAATAATAAAATTTTATTTTAAAAGAGACAAAATTTTTTTGTTACTTCAACTTCACAATTATTTTTTAATTTTAATTATTAATTATTTTATTAAAATAACTAATTATTTTTAGTAAAACAATCGAAATTATTTTTAAATTGCTACAGAAAGTAAAAAAATAAATATTTACACAAATAATCAAATTAATTAATCGACACGTTCGAACCGAAAGCAGCCTTCAGTAGTAACTTTTACTAATTTAATTAAAAGGTTATCTACTTTGTATTATAAAGATATATTTTAAAATTTAATAATTATAATATTTTTAATTAATTTTATATAAATTTATATATTTTTATAAAATTTATAAATTTAATATAAAAATTTGCATAAAGTTAATCATAGATTTTGTAATTAATAAAGATTAATGTGTATTTTAAAAAAAATCATTTAATTAAATATACATAGGATTATAAAAAAATTTAAACTAATTAAATAAGAAATTTTTTGATTTATACTCTAAAATCACAAGTTAAGCTTCATTACTACTTATTAATAATTAATTTTACATAAATTTTTATTATAAATTTAATTAAAATAAAATATA